AAATACGGGTCCTAGAATGTGGAATTCCTGTTGGTCGTAACGAATACAAGTTTGGGGTATAGAATTTTCTTCTTACACAACCATGGAGTTTCTCACCTGCTTACGTTTCGATGTCTATCAGACACCTTCCTCAGAGCTTCTGACTGGAGTTCTGCAACTCGCCGCTATTTAACGCCAATATAGGTGGCGCTTTTGCCGGGAGAATGCAATCCCAAACGTGGCTGAGCTTGTATCCCCCCTCGTCCCGGTTCATCACTGGGGTAGACTTCCTTATCCAGACTGCTTCTTTAATCCAACGGATTCTTCTGTTGTCCTCCCTATCTGTGGCCCTGGCTCCCTCCCAGTCTATCACACAATTATTTCTGGCAACATGGTCTGTAACTGCCGATTTCTTCTCTTCTTTTTGTGCTTGTTGTTTCTGGGACCGTGTATATCTTATGGCTTCGCTGTTGTGTGCCTCTTTTCTGTGTTCTTCCAGTCTTTTGCCAAAGGTCCTATGGTCTCTATGGTTGTGTAAGAAGAAAATTCTATACCCTAAGTATCTTCCGACCTGATGAAATTATTTACGGAATACAAATTTGGTACCAAACAACTAACTTAGCATACTGGAGGTTACAGACTCAACTCTCCCTGTCGTGTGGCTCTGTCAATAAAAGCAAACGTCACTTAGAATATGATATGAAGCGCTGATGAAGGTTAGACTTTTTTTAATTTCAACTTTATTTACATATAATGACATGTAAAAATGGCCAGGGGAAACAGACCTAAGAATGCCTTCATAACTCCCTGACTACAGTTAGGACGTGCTAATAACAATGATATTGTAACAAATAGTAACAATGCAAAATAATAAAGTAACGTATGATAATTAAGTGATACAAGGACTTAAATGATCAAAGACGTTACAAATCACTGGTCACATTTAGGCCAAAAAAAGAATTGAAACAGCAATTGAGACAACAATTGAAACAATAATTGAAACAACAATTGAAACAATAAGTATGATATGAAGTGTTTTCAATAACTTCGCAAAACTTTTTGCTGCATTTTTAAGTTTCCTTCTTCTATATTCTTAGTCAGCACCATTAAGGTAAAAGGCGTGTCAGATGATTTAGTAAGCACAATGGTCAGACGGTATAGCAAATGGCCTGGAGTTGGGAAATCAAGTTTACCTCGGACAATGGTGCATTTGACACCCACGGAATAAGATTTGCAACTTCTCTTCTCTTAGTGGGGCAGATAACTGAAATAATCTTTCAAGTTGTGATACAAGCGCCAAACTTGGTACAAATACTCATGAGACATTACTCTTTTGAAAAAGTACGCGGGCCACTTGATTTGACTTTTGGCGCCCCCTAGCGGCACTTTTTGGTACTGCAGCCGACCTTCCGGGCTTTGTATCTCCTGTTCTAAACATGCTACAGTCATGATGTTTATGTGGTAGAAAGCTGTTAAAGTAAGACAGAAGTGACGTAAATTTGGTGTCTCTAGCTGCTTGCGTTGGAACTGCAGAGCGTTTTTTGCCGGTGCAAAAATTTGCTCCAAGGGCGCTTTTTGGTACTGCAGCCGACCTTCCGAAGCAAAAAAAGCGCCCTTGAAGCAAATTCTGCACCGGCAAAAAAACGCCCCTGCAGTTCCAACGCAAGCCAAAAGTCAAATCAAGTGGCCCGCGTACTTTTTCAAAATAGTAATGTCTCATGAGTATTTGTACCAAGTTTGATGCTTGTATCACAAAGTGAAAGATTCCTCCAAAATTTGATGTTATCTGCTCCACTATCTGGAAAACATGTTAGCTTATATCACAACACCAGGTTCTAATACGATTGTGAGAATCTTATGTTATGTTCATTTTCCTTCCGGGAACATGTTTGTATGCGGCAATAATGTCGGGTCCCACTGTAAAAATTACTAGGGTTAGATTTTATGAGTGACAAAGAAAATGTAGTTAAGCCTTTCTATGAAATAAGTCAGGCAGGATGTATAAAACATGCTAGGTCTGGTTCAAAAGTACAAAAAATAAGTTTAACAAGGTTTTTTAACAAGTATTTGTGTATTTCTTTGTTCTAACGTGAGAATGTGTCAAAATATTACAGCTGTATAAAACGTGACATATTTTCCGTTTCATATACACACACCAACCTAAAGTCCGGACCTTTACACTTTTTGATTTCGCAAGGGTCGCTAAGAATAATTACATTTCCAACACACTATGGATAATTTATATCCATAGTCTAAACCTGAATACAGCCATAATTGTAATATTACTATTAAAACGTTTCTGACATTTCAGCACAAACCAACAACCTCAACCAAAACATTCGGATTGGTGTCAAAGGCCGATTATTAGGTTTTGTTGCCTAATTTCTTAGAAAAAGGATTTATTGAAAAAGAATTGATTATAAATTAATTAGAATAAAAAATAATACTACAGATCCTACGGTAAATGAAGGTTTGTGGTGAGTGATTGAATTAATCATATTAAATCATCGATGAACTAAATATAATAAATAAATCCCGGCAAAAGTGTAAATTTGAAAAAGAAATGAGGTACTTGACTTTTTTTCTACTCACACATTCGCAAGCTACCCCAACACCTACTTTAAGGTCCGTTGTTTTCAATATGAGGGCACACGAGTCCCAAAAGTTAATATAAATTTTGCAGTTAAATCATGTTTTTCAATGTGCCACCCAATGTCTCAAATCCCAGGCCATCTGTTTCCCATACAGATGTCCAGGATACATTTTTGTCAGTATTCTATTTGCCTTTCCATTTTTTGATCAGGTTGGGGAAGTTTGACAAATGTATCTGTTCTTATCCTGACAGTCTACATCGTCCCACATAGGATTGCCATTGTCTGCTGCCCAGTACTGTACGCAGAGTTTCGCCGCATGTAGCCATCCCTGGTTATCTGGCTCTCCGGGGCACCATGCCTAATGGAAACAGAAGACACAACATTGTTTAAAATTAAAACTTTTGATCCGACGCAACAAAGTTCTCTCATCTAGAGCTTTAGATCAGTCACTCTGGTCTTCCTCAGTAGGCTGACGCAGTGAAGCTTGGCACGTGGCTTCTTTGAAGTGTTTTAAGTTTAAACAAGTAACTTTCATGATAAGACATAACATTGTCTGTAACGCAACCCAAAACACATTTCATTTACCTTAATGCTTGCTTGTTATATCGATTACATATAATTTATAACCTTATAAGTTAAGGAAACAAACATGACATCAACATGACTAAACTTGTGAAACCTATGTTTATGTTAATAACAAAATAATCTTTAAAAAATCTGGATACTACGTTACATAATATGACTAGTACCTGTATCTATTAATTCAATTTAGGCCATGTTGATTTGATTATATGGATGACATCCTCTGGGAACCCCAAAACTGATGCGCGCGTGCGAATAAAAAAAAAGTTTTGCAAAAAAAAAAGTTAGCTTTCACTATGAAATCTACGTGGTCATGAAGGTTGAACAAATGGCACAGAATATGTTATGGCGAATAATCTACTCTTCGAATTCATTTCTTTACATTTTTGTCTTTTTTCCTTTGATTTTGGCATTCTACGACATTGGTATTGTTTCTAAATGTTTTCATTGCAACTTATGGTATATTTTTGCTCATTTAGCAACTGTTTTGCACGATTTACAGTATGGTTGAAAACTTTTTTTTTTGAAATGGCCGAAAATTCATGCGCGCGCGGATGTCATCCATATAATCAAATCAAAATGGCCTTAATTCAATCGCTATTTCAGGCACAGGGCCCATATCAATACATAAATAAAAAATACAGGTACACAAATATAAATAAATTATACAGATATGTACAGTAAATGAAAATACAATGTGAATACTGTTTAAATACCAGGTTGACACGATGCTTCTAGAAGTTGCTGAGAGAGAATAGATCAGAATAAATTACAAGTTTTATGAAACCATTGTTTGAGCTGAGGAGGTATGTGACAAAAGTATGTTAATATTTTTCTGCTGATTAATTTCGAAATATAAAAACGTAGAAAACAACACAGCAAAAAAGCCTAGAAAAACAAGTTACCTGTTAATTCTTGTATGCAGGAACTAAGTATCCTATCGGTTCAATAATAACTTTTTCGCCAGGCGTTTGCTGCCTTAGGAAGTGGGGGAAGAGGGTATAAACATACCTGGTAGTTGCCCAAAGCACGGCCGTCCTCCCATTGCCAGTGTCTCGCATGGACATATTTGTACCCCACGTTCTTCATGCCGATCCAGTAATCTTGTTTTAGACCAACCGTTTTGATCAGGTTCCTCAGGGCGACGTCCAATCCTCGTGTCTTAGGCATGACCAGTGTCCCTCCGTCGTTCATGCAGACTTCCCTGGCGACATCGTAAGACGTTTTTCTAACGGAGAGCCGAATGCATGTCCCGACTACAGGTGTGTAGCCGGCTTTGCAGCCTTCATTTTGTAACAGACATACAAAAACCGTGTTATATTTGCACCGTGCACCCCTCGTTTTCTCTTGTTTGATGTACCATACATATTGTATTATCTTATTTTATATTATCTTGTATAAGTCCACAAGGGTTGGGCACGTGAAGTGCACGTCAAAGTAATAAAGCCTAATTTATACCTTCCTTCCTATGTATTGGATAACTAACGTATTCAGTCATGAACTATCATAGCACCGGACTCGATAGATATACTATTACAGTAATAAATTTCAACATTCTATTTTCCATCAGAAATGTATTTCTATGTTAAACAGATATCGGAACTAAAGGGGGTTGCTATGACATGATATCTGTGTCAAAATTAAGGACGTATTTTTTTCAATTCACGCCAAAGTTGATACAAAATATTTAACGTTCCACGAACTAACTACGCTTCACATTTCGATGCACTGCATGTAATTTATTTACTTGTGTATCTAGAATGAGTTCATAATTCTAAACAAGACATATTATTCTCTCGTACCTGATGGGATTCCGTAGAAGTTCAGTTCTGTGAGATATGGCTGCCAGCCCGAGTGGGTCCGCGTGACCACGAACCTCCAGTACCGCGCTGTTTCCTGGAACCCGCCGAACTCCTGGCGCTGGCTCGCCCCTCCCTGCACGTTAGTGATGGTCACGACGTCCTTCCAGGTGCGCGGACACCTTACATGTGATGCCTGCAACTTGAAGGCTGCAATGTCATGGGTGGTGTCTCCGTAGTTGTTAACTGCGATGCGGGTCAGAGTGTGGGACGATTTGAGGTCCAGTATGATGTACCAGTTGTTGAAGCTCTGGTCGGTACCGGTAGGGTTCCAATAGGTCGTAGTGTCCCCGTCCAAGGCTTTGGTGGCATCATATGTCACTCCGTCCTTCACATGAGGTCTGCCGATAGACTCCAAAAACCATGACGAATCCTGGGCCAACCATCCACCTGGGGAATAAAAGCCTAGTCAGAAAATAACATCCTTAAGCTTTCTTCTATATGTTAGGTATATTGCATCCTCGCTTGACGACTTGTGGGCCATATTTAGTCTCCAAGGAAATGTAAGGGTACCCCGCAGTGCTTTACTAAATTATATGTGGTTCAATCTAAGGTGTTTCAATCTAAGATGATCTTCATCTATTTTATCAACCTATTTCCCTTGGTCTTGAATGATAGGAAAGACAGATAGTATTTCCAGTATACAGCCTGAGGGAAATGTATATAAGTTAAAGGTACTGGTGATGTTCCCTCTAGGCTAGTACGTACCCTTTCCAACATCCGAGCAGCAAAAGCGGACCTCATAATCCAGACACATGCCGTCAAGTTGGTCCACATTCCTGCAGAGGAACCCGGCGGTCGTGTCGTAGGAGGAGAAGTGTTGTCCTGTCAGGGACGCCTCCTGCTGTGTGGAGATAACGCGGGCGTGCACGGCTGTAGGAGTGGCACAGATCTGCCCTGGATAGTCCTGGCGGAGATCAGTTAGGATTTCACTGTCTGCAGTCCCTGTGGGGTCATCACGATCGAACCAATCCGTCCAGGACCCAGAAGGACACTCTGTCCCTTTAAACAAGAGACCTGTCAGTTTGCATGGATTGTATACAACAACCATCAGTTTAATATGGGACTTCCACTTTAATTTGGGACTAATATATCAGCAACCTTACATCTAGATGGGCAATATATTGTAAGCTATAAGTAAAAATAATGTAAGAAAAAAAATATATGTAGCAGCCATCGAAGACCCCTCGCGGATTAACCCAATTCTGTAGAATTCTGACTCCAGTTCCAGAATTCTGCAGAACTGGGTTAATTCCCATGAGGTTCTTGATGGTAGCTACATACTCCGTACATCATGTTTGCGTATTTGCCAATATTAGCACATCTAGATGTTAGGTTGCTGAGATATGGCAATAGTACCAAATTAAACTGGAAGTCACAAATTAAACTGGAGGCTCTTATAGGTAAAGCGCATCAACAGACAACAGACCACATAAATATTAGAGACTGAAATCAAGGGGGTACACCCCAGTTTATTTGGCGTCTAGAAGCTTAACACTTGTATGTAAACCTGTACACCCATTCTTCCTCCTCATTCCAAATTTCCCCTAGAAAGGCCAACATTTGCTCAGGACCAAATGTAGCATGGCTTCATACCCCCCCCCCCCCCCTTCACATCCCCCGTACCAAAAATGATACCCATACTATAGTATGGGTGAAATGTAAAAATATTTGAATTTGTTGAAAGAAATGTGACCAGTAATATGATAGTCTGACCCTGCCATTATTTATGGTTGCTGGACAGTCTGGGATGTTAATGAGTTTATGTGGTTATGGGGTCAATTCAGTATTCAAGCTGCTGGAAAAGCAACAGTGGGGAGTACTTGTATATGGCAGGACCCAGGTTCCTCAATCCTGTAGTTTAAGATTAATGTCTTTTTTATCCTTACCAGCGCATTTTGGTGACTGTTCACTCCAACTTCCATCGGACAAACAGGTGAGTGAAGATTTGCCGGCCAGCCTGTATCCTTGGTCACATGTGAAGTGAAGCACGTCACCGTAAGAGTTGAAGCCTGTCACGAAGCCATGACGTGGATGTGGCAGCGTGGGGCACTGAACAGCTGTATTTAAAACATCATGATTTTAAAATGCTCAAAATTACATGTCTAAGCTGGGAAAGTACGACGTCCCAGGAGTTTTACTACAGCTTTCTTAATAGTTTACAAATAATAGTAACCACTTTGTTTCTTACATACTTATCCTCTTCACTCCTTGTGAGAAATACGGTCATGAAAAAAGCAATGACCTTATATCTCAGCTATTTATAGATTATCACCTAATTATATAATTCAATTTAATTTCAAAGGCACACATGTTAATCTTTTTTTAAATATAATAATACCTGTACATGTTGGTGATTTTCCATTCCAAGTTCCATCAGACAGACAAGTCAGTGAAGATGTACCAGCAAGTTTGTATCCTGGCTCACATGTGAAGTTGACCACGTCTCCGTAGGAGTTGGAGCCAGTCATGAACCCATTGATGGGATTTGACAGTGGAGGACACTGGGCAGCTGTTTTGAATTCATCCAAATTCAATAGACAAAATGATACCAGTAGCAACATACCTACGATGTCACTGTAGTTGTACCTAAGTGTCCTTATTTTCTGTCTTCAGAAAAGGTACTTGATTACATAATTGAAACTTATAGGAAAGACAAAAACATACACCCTCTTTTTTTAAATAAATTACCTGTGAATGTGATGAGATGGTGACAAGATGACATAAGAAACACGACATGCTACTATCACGGGACTTTCTCCACCTTATAAGAACTTCAATAATTAACTTCAATAAATTTTATGGATTACGTCCTTTGGAGACCCTAAATCTAATGCGAGAGGGCGAAAAAAAAACAAGAAGGGCCCTTAAAAACAAGATGCCTACATTAGAAATATACAAAGAGACGACAAATGTTAGGACACAAATTGAATGAGGTGACACAGTGTAACAAGCAAGAAGTCTTTTATTCATCATCAAAACAGCAATAAATCAGGTGGAACAGTGGACAGTGAAAAACTTTCTGTTATTGACAGGATGGTCCTGTCAATAGTGCAAATTTTCTGTTATTGACAGGATGGTCAATAGACACTTTCTTCGCGTTACGGGTTTCACATCAATCTGCAATCTGGTGATTTGCGGCACTGTCGTGACTTTTTGGTCATAGTTACGCAGGAAGCGGAATTTCTTGTGTTTTTTTTTTCCAGAAACAGGCCAAAATCAATGCGCGCGCGGACGTCATCCATAAAATTTACTTGGTGTGGCCATATTTAAAAAAACATACATATTTAGAAAAAAAACAGGAACCAAATAAACTGTAGAAAAATTTTACCTGTGCATGTTGGTGAGTCCCCATTCCAAGTTCCATCTGACAGACAGGTTAGTAAAGGTGCACCAACAAGTTTGTATCCAGGCTCACACGTGAAGTTAACCACATCTCCGTGGGAGTTGGAGCCAATCTTCAAGCCATTGATGGGGTTTGACAGCAGTGGACACTGGGCAGCTGAATTAAAACATCCTACATTGTAATTTATTTCAATGTAGAGCAGTAAAATATTTACCATGTCCAATTGATTTTACCAGACCAGTCTAATCAATTTGACTAAAATGATATCTGATTACATAATTCAAAATGGATTTTTAAATGCTTTACCTGCACATGTTGGAGAGTTTCCATTCCAAGTTCCATCAGACAGACAAATCAGTGAAGATGTACCAACAAGTTTGTATCCTGGCTCACACGTGAAGTTAACTACGTCTCCGTAGGAGTTGGAGCCAGTCATGAACCCATTGATGGGGTTTGTTAACGGAGGACACTGGGCAGCTAGATTGAAAACATCCTAATTTATTTGACAAGATGAGGTGAAAAGTACAGCAATTCATTCTATCCGACCATTGTTAGATTTTCTTTGATAAGGCCATGTTGATTTGATTACTATAGTATATGGATGACATCCGCGCACGCATGAATTTTCGGCCGTTTCCAAAAAAAAAAAGGTTTTCAACCATACTGTAAATCGTGCAAAACAGTTGCAAATGAGCAAAAATATACCATAAGTTACAAAAAAAATTAATAAAAACTATACCAATGTCGTAGAATGCGAAAATCAAACGAAAAAAGACGAAATTGTAAAGAAATGAACATGAAGACTAGATTATTCGCCAAACCATATTCTGTGCCATTTGCTCAACTCTCATGACCACGTAGATTTCATAATGAAAATAATTTTTTTTTTTTTGCAAAACTTTTTTTTATTCGCACGCGCGCATCAGATTTGGGGTTCCCGGAGGATGTCATCCATATAATCAAATCAACATGGCCTAACTGATGACATCTGGATCAATTCGAATTCAAAGTAAAGGCGCAAATATTACCACTTGCACTATTACCTGTACATGTTGGTGAGGTTCCGTTCCAAGTTCCATCAGACAGACATGTCAGTGAAGATGGACCAACAAGTTTGTATCCTGGGTCACACGTGAAGTTGACCACGTCTCCGTAAGATTTCTTTCCGCCGATGAAACCATTGGTGAGGTGTGTCAGTGCGGGACACTTGGTGGCTGTGTTTAAAACAATGATAAACGGTTTATTGGACAAACATTACCCGTGCAATGTCAGCATTTTAAAGCGCTGAATTGATGCTCTGTTTACAATCCCATATTACATAGATATATTTGCTCCACACACAGTTTATGGAACGGTCGGAAGGGTCTGTGCGGCTGCCATTCCGGTCCGCTCCACCAGGTGACCTCAATACGACTTTCCCCAACAAAGGTTAGGCACCCATTCACACATGGGTGGAGTGAGGAAAGTCGTGTAAAGTGTATTTCTCGAGGTAACAAAGCCGGGGCGCATATGTGCAGACATGTCCCGGGTACAACTCTGTATCGAAACCGAGTCTTGCCTGGACTCGCCGTTTGATAGTCGAACGCTCTATAACTACTCCACAAATTACATGAGCGGTAACCAAAACATACATGCTTTCACTACATCGATGGGAGCTAGACATAAGGCCATGTTGATTTGATTATATGGATGACATCCGCGCGCGCATGAATTTTCGGCCGTTTCCAAAAAAAAAAGTTTTCAACCATACTGTAAATCGTACAAAACAGTTGCAAAATGAGCAAACATATACCATAAGTTACAAAAAAAATTAATAAAAACTATACCAATGTCGTAGAATGTCAAAATCAAACGAAAAAAAGACGAAATTGTAAAGAA